TAAATATACATTTAATAGATCGAGGAGAGAACTTACTTGTAAGTGGGGAATTATCCTTTGCATAACATAAACAACCAAAAACCTTGAGATGATTATATGAAGGGGCCTTACCAAAAAGGAGTTCAAATGGTGTTTTACCATTAAGCAGTGGTGTAGGAGTGTGGTTGATGAGATAGGCAGCTGTGAGGATGCATTCTCCCCAAAATGAAATCGGTAGGTTTGCTTGAAAGCGTAATGCTCGAGCCACATTTAAAATATGTCTATGTTTCCTTTCTACCACCCCATTTTGTTGTGGTGTGTACGCACATGAAGTTTGATGCAATATTCCTTGTTCACGAAAGAATGCCTGCATAAGGTTAGAAAGAAATTCTTGTCCATTGTCGGACCTTATTTGTTTAACATGTTGCCCAAATTGTGTCCTAACCATATTGACAAACATGCATAAAAATCGAAAAGTTTCAGATTTATACTTCATGAGAAATACCCAAGTAGCATGAGTATAATCATCAACTATAGTAAGGAAATAATGTGCCCCTGAATGAGAAGGGGTTTGATATCTTCCCCAAATGTCACAATGTATTAAGGAAAAATGTGACTCAACTCTTTTTTGACTAAGAGGAAAACTATTTCTTGTTTGTTTTGCTCTATGACAAGTATCACAACATTTAGGAAAGGAATTAAGATCAAAAGAAATATTTTTAGACAATAAAGAAAGACGATCAAATGAGGCATGTCCTAACCGTTGATGCCAAAGTTCCATAGAAGACGATGAAATGGTAGTATTTTTTATTTTTGCTTCTCTTACTGGCTTGAAATAATAAAGCCCATTATTCATTTCACCAATTCCGATCAACTTCTTTGTGGTGATGTCTTGTAAAACACAAAAAGTTGGCAAAAATATAACAGCACAATTTAAATCTTTTGTTAACTTACTCACAGATATCAAATTGCATGTAAACTCAGGTACATACAAAACATTATCAATGGTGACATTAAGGGCTAAAGATACTTGTCCAATGCCATGTATAGACACATGTTTCCCATTGGGAATTTTTGCATAATTATAAGTAGATAAAGGATGCGATGCCTTGAATTTATTTTTATGACCAGTTCCATGATCAGATGCACCACTATCTAAAATCCAATCACCAAAGTTCATGGAACCCTTACTACAAACATCATCTAGTGAAGAATATAAGTTTAGGAATTTCTTACAAGAGTCCAAAGGAGCTTGAGTAGCTAGAGAATTTGAATCATGCACATCGCCGGTGGATTTGCCGGGAACTTTGGCTGCTTCAACTTCAGCCATGGTGTCACCGTGCCAGCAAAATTGGGCAGCAAAAAAAGAAGGAATGAGAGGGTCAAATCTGCTCTGATACCATGAGAAAATGTATGTTTTTCTACTATTCATGAATGAAAAGATTCAGTATTTATTTACAAAACAAGAGCAACCAAATGAATGAAATCTCCTAAGCAAATCTATTTACAATGGTCAAATGGAAAATGGAAAGTGGCGAGGATTAGGGACCAACGGCTAGAACTTTGATTGCGGTGCTGTAGTAGAAGACTTTAATTCTAACAGAAAAGAAACACCGAAAAGGAGACCAGGTGATATCCCACTTTCCATGATTTTATTATTTATTAATATAAGAGGATTAGGGGGGATTGGGAAAAAAAGGGAGATTCGGGATTTGGTTGCCAAACAGAAAGTGGATGTTTTGTTTATTCAAGAAACTAAAATGGAGAAAGTAGACAGATGTTTATGTAGAATGGTCTGGGATTCTAATAATTTTGAGTGGGTTGCTTAACCTGCTAACGGTGCATCAAGAGGAATTTTAATTATATGGAATTCTAATGTTTTCAAGAAGACTGGTTGTTTAGAAGGTGCAGGATTCCTGGGAGTAGTGGGGATTTGGGGAGAAGAAAACATCCCCTGCTATTTGGTAAATGTATATTCTCCATGTGAATTGGCGAGTAAGAGAATATTATGGGAGAATTTATCAAATAAAATCTGTTCCAATAGAGGAAACTGGTGCATAGCTGGAGATTTTAATGCCATTAGAAGTCTTCAGGAAAGGAAAGGAGGTATAAGTGTAAGGAGGGAGCTGAAAGAATTTAACAAGTTCATTGAGATGAGTGGGTTGGTAGACCTCCCTATGATAGGGAGAAAATTCACTTGGTATCAGCCGAATGGTAATTGCATGAGCCGCTTGGATAGATTCTTATTTTCTGAGGAATGGTTGCTTAATTGGAGAGATTTGAAGCAATGGGGGTTAGCGAGGTCACTGTCAGATCATTGCCCAATTTTGGTGAAGGATGAAACATGTAATTGGGGCCCAAAACCCTTCAAATTTTATAATGTGTGGTTGCAAGATCCAGCATTTAGAGAAATGATAGAGACACAATGGAACAACTTTAACATCAGAGGGTGGGGAGGTTTTGTGCTCAAAGAAAAACTAAAACTGTTGAAAAATAGTATGAAGGACTGGTCTCGGAATAATGTACAGGTGGTTGACAAACAAATTGAGAAAGCAAAAGAGACTATAGCCAAACTTGATTGTAAAGGGGAAATACAGCAGCTAAGTGAGGAGGAAGGCATTCTCAAGAGGGATCTAATGCTAACTTTATGAGAAAATATTCAAACAAAAGACGAAATGGCAAGACAAAAATCAAGGATGACGTGGATGAAGGAAGGAGATGCTAATACAAGCTTCTTCCACCGGTGCATCAAAAATAGAAGGAGAAGGAATGAAATTAACTCCCTAGTGGTCAATGGGAAGGTGTTGCAAGAAGTCAATGAGCTGAAACAAGGAGTGGCTAAATACTTCAGGAATCTATTTGCAAAGGAAGACTAGAAAAGGCCAGTTTTGGAGGGCATGGAATTTAATAAAATTTCTAAAGCAGAAAAGGAGCTTTTAATTGAACCGTTTCTTGAATCAGAGGTCAAAGCAGCTGTATGGAATTGTGACAGTGCTAAAGCCTTGGGTCTGGATGGTCTGAGCTTTGGGTTTTTGAAAACAGAATAGGAAGTGGTCAAAGATGATATATTAAAGTTTCTAGCTGACTTCCATATCAACAGCAAGCTGGTAAGGGGTTCCAATTCATTTTTTCTGGTATTGATACCTAAAATGGAGAACCCACAGGTACTGGAAGAGTACAGGCCTATTTCTCTAATAGGATGCATGTACAAAATCCTTGCTAAAATCCTAGCCAACAGATTGAGTAAAGTGTTGAATGGACTCATAGGCGAACAACAATTAGCATTCATTGGAGGGAGACAATTGGTTGATGGGGTAGTTATTGCAAATGAGACGATAGATGAAATCAGGAAGAACAAATTGAGCTGTTTCCTCTTCAAGGCCGACTTTGAGAAGGCTTATGACAATGTCAGTTGGGAATTTTTGGATTATATGTTGGATATGATGAATTTGGTTTGGTATGGAGGGGCTGGATTCGAGAATGTCTACAAACAAACTCGGTTTCTGTTTTGCTCAATGGTAGGCCAACAAAAGAGTTTACCATGCGCAGGGGATTAAGACAAGGAGATCCCTTAGCTCCTTTCCTGTTCCTTATTGTTGGATAAGGGCTTAATGGCATCATCTCATCAGCAGTTGAAAAAGCACTTTTCGAAGGGGTCCAAATTGGAAGAGGGGATTTGAGAATTTCTTATTTGTAGTTTGCGGATGACACCTGATTATTGGGGAAAGCAATAGAGGAAAATATATGGACCACAAAATGCATTATGCGGGCCTTCGAATTAGTCTCCAGGCTGAAAATCAACTATGGGAAAAGATCCTTGATTGGAATCAATGTCGATGATCTATGGGAAAAGGAAATGACATGTCTATTGAATTGCAAATCAGGATCTCTGCCTTGCAAGTATCTGGGTATCCCTCTGGGAACAGACCCTAGAAGAATAACTACATGGAAGCCACTAATCGACACCTTCAAAAGAAAATTGTCTTCATGGATAGGGCGGTTCCTATCCTTTGGAGGAAGAATAACTCTCATTAATGTTGTGTTGACCAGTTTACCGGTGTTCATTATGTCCTTCTATCTACTCCCAAAGAGCGTCATACGTGAGTTAGACAAAATTAGGAGAAAATTTTTATGGGGGGGAGTCGGGGAGAGGAAAAAAGTTGCGTGGGTAGCATGGGATCATATATGTAAACATAAACTTGAAGGGGGTTTGGGTATCAAAAATCTGTCATGTTTCAACATGTCATTATTAGGAAAATGGTGGGGAAGACTGCTCACAAAGAAAGGGGGTTTATGGAGAAAAGTCTTATGTGAAAAATACGGGAATAAAGAAGGGAATTGGCTATCCTATCTAAAGGAGGGTAGATGTCGAGGTTCAAGTTGGTGGAGGGATGTTTGCAAAATAGATGAAGGGGTGGGGGCTAAGAATAATTGGTTGAGCTCAGGTTTTGAAGTGAAAATAGGGGATGGCAGATATACAAAATTCTAGTCGGATGAATGGGTAGGAGGGAGTGCTTTATCTAACAAATATCCACGCTTGTTTCTGTTATCCATAGGTGAAAATCACAATGTCAAAGACATGGGAACTTGGACAAATGGAAGATGGCAATGGAAATTAGTATGGAAACGCAAATTACGTTCGTGGGAGGAAGACTTGGAAACAGATCTTCTAGAGATGCTCAGGACAACTCACCCAATACAGGACAAAGAAGACCAAAGGTGGTGGAAACCGGACCCCTCCGGAAACTACACATCTAAGTCGACTTACTCCCATCTTTTAAAGGATAACACCAAGACTATTGTTGACTTCAAAAGGCTGTGGAAGGCCCCCATTCCATCTAAAGTAAGTGCTTTCTGCTGGCAATTACTTCACAAGAAACTCCCTACAAAAGACAATTTAGCAACCCACGGAATCTTGACTGATCACAACAACCTAAGATGCTGCTGGTGTAATTCATCAACTGAAACACCCGACCACTTGCTTGTTAATTGTAACCTAGCCTCTAGCTTATGGATGAAATGCTACCAGTGGTGGGGCAAACAATATGTGTTAGGAAATTCATGTATGAAGGTTCTGGAACAACACAAGTGGTACGGGGGCCCAAAATCACTAGATAAAGGGTGGAACATCATTTGGTTTGCAGTAGTATGGACACTCTGGCTGGGTAAGAATGACAGGATTTTCAATGCCAAGGAAGCAAAGACTGATTACTTTTTCCAACTAGTTCAAACTCGATCTTTTTACTGGGCAAAATATTATGCAGGTTTGGATGGATTCTCATTAACAAATTGGTGCGAGAATCCAACCAAATGCTTAATGATCAAAGCCAAAGAGAAAGATAGAGTATGAACTGGATTTTTTTGGAATTTTACGTTTGTAAGGTCCTTTTACAGAAGCCGGTGAAAAAGAATCTTTGTAATCGGTTGCTTTTGTAAGTTAAGGGTTGGAATACCCCTTGTATTCCATAAGTAATAAATTCTTTTGCCTTTCAAAAAAAAAAAAAAAACTGTTGGCAGAAGTTTCCAGTTCCAACCCATGAAAGTCCAACCCCATTTCTACCGTCCTATTGCAAAAAAGGCTGTAAGCTACACTAGCCATTGTTGAAAATTTACAATGGTTATTTCAACCATTGTAGATAAACCTCGTTTAATGAGGTGAAGAAAAATTACATGGGTAGTTGGTTTCTCCATCTATAAATACCCATGCAATGGCAAGGCAATGGGTAAGCAAGCAAAAAGCAAGAGTGCCGCACAAGTGAGCAAAGTGAGAGCTCGGGTGAAAGAAAAAAAAGGGGGTGAGAGCTAGGCATTAAGTTTAGGTGTGAGTGTGCTCCATAGAGAGAATAGATAAAATTGTGAGTTTATCAAAATTGTGATCATATCTTAGGGAAGTGGAAAACACCAATATAGAAAATACTTGAATGTATACTTTGCACAATTTTATCACATATTTATGTATAGTGAAATACCCTTCGGATTTTGTCCCGTGATTTTTTCCCTTAATAGTTTTTTGGGGTTTTTCCAAGTAAAATTTGGTATCATCTTATTATTTATTTTTTCTCTTAAGTGGCTGATTAAACCACTTGTTTTATTTTTTTTTTTCCTAAGTTGCTGGTTAAACCGCCGATTTATTTTGCTTGGCTGCTTACGCTGCCTTTTTTACTAATTGTTAATATTAGTCGGCTAAATTGCCTGCTTCACCGTTTATTTGTTATTGTTCATGTGTTTGTTCATAGGAATTCGTTTATTCCTTTGTGCCATTTTTCACAACATTAACGCTATCTGAGTTAAGCCCCGTAAGAACAATAAGAACAAACCGAATCCAACCAACACCAAGCTCCCTCATAACCATGACATTAGCTCTCCCCAAATCCCTGGCACTAATGTCCTTCTTCTTCTCTCTCATTGTGGTATAGAAACAGTAAGTTTGTCAAATATAACACAAAAATAAATATGCATTTTCATATACATATACAACACTATATCTAGAACTAAACTAGTTTTTTTTTTTTTTAATCTTGGGTTATACAATAAAAAATAACCCTCTTATATCCCTTAATTAATTTTTTTTATCTTGATCTGCACAATAAAAGATAACTCTCTCATCCTTTGATTCACTCCATTCACATATTTTAGGACTCAAACTCAAAATCTCTTACTTATACTAAAAAGAGGTTACTACTTTTACTTAGATCATTAGCAACTATAACCAAACTAGTTATTCGAAATCAAATTGATGCTTCTGTAAATACTTTGGGATGGATTACTTTGAGGGAGTTGGATTCTTGGGGCCATTATTTAAAGCTTGAAGCAGTTTTCGATTCTGCCTCTCAATCTCAATCATACTGTCAAGCTTTGCCTCCATGATTGTCAATGCTTGTTTGGTCGCATTAAACTGAGCTTCCATGGTTTCCAAGGCTAATTTGGTTGCATTTAGCTCATCTAACTCACTGCTCTTCCAGCTTGTTTGACAATCATTTCCAATGTCTTCCTTGTATCCTGGCATTACCGTCTCATTCTGGTTCGCTGCAGAAGTCATTGCTCCTTGATTGCTGCCATACAAACACTCCACTCATGTTATTTACATTCCACATAAAATTCATGAACGTAAGAACATGTATCATCTCTGCAATCATATCAACTAATGACAGAAGTAATTAAACTTTGTGTTGAATGATTAAATAATGTAAGAGTTAATCAAACCTCCATAACAGATTTTTAAACTCCTTCTCAGCACAGTATAATACCGGAACATCAATAAAACCACTGTCATCAAATTTGAACGCAGATTCTGAATTTGGAGTTTGGCTTGCCATTATTCCTGCTTGGCTTCCCTCCACCTCATGTTGCTTTTTTACATCTCCTTCTTCTTTCTGGTTTACCTTTACTTCCATCCCTTCCCCCTGATTAGCCCCTGCCAAATACATGAATAATAAGAGATTAAAGAGAGCTGATGGAATCATGAATCCTTGCTATGAGCTTAAAGTTTTAGACAAAATGAATTCTTTCTTAACATATTAATCCATCATAAAAGATCACTTACCTTCCAAAACATTTGAATTTTTTTCTTCCAAGTTCATCTTAGAACCAATCCTTTAATACATTCTGGTGAAATGCTCATGCTCGAAGCAGAATTCGTCCCCTCCAGGTTTTCACTAGCTGTCTTCTTCCTCTTCCTCTTCCTCTTAGTTGAGCTTGATTTTTTTTTTTTTT